AGGGAAAGGTGGCATGGAGAGAGAGGGAGGAAAAAGGAGAGAAAGGAGTACATATGATGAGTCACTATGAATGCGAGTGTGTGTGTGGTGTACAACGGACAAGCGCTGGGATCATCCTTGCTATTTTAATTATAAGGCACCCTCCAAATTTGGATGTTTCCTAAGGACCTGCTACTTGTCTTCTATTTCTACGCATGGTCCTCTCACAAGTCCCACCACCCTCATGGCTTTGGTCAACCTTGACTTTTTTTTTTTTGTAGAAACAGGGTTTCATCATGTTGCCCAGGCTGGTACTGAACTCTTGGGCTCAAACAATCCACCTGCCTCAGCCTCCCAAAGTGCTGGGATTCCAGGCACAAGCCATTGTATCTGGTTAGCCTTCATTTTTCTTTGCAGCTCCCATCCTCATTTTCAATGAACTACTAGAAAACAATCCAAATCTCTAAAGTCAGTTTAACTGGGAGGCTTGTGCATCAGAGGACTTACCTGACCTGCTACCTATACCTCTTTGGTCAATTAAGAAGGAATCTAAGGGAAAAAAGATTAAATAGGAGAAAGCAAGCATGGAGAGAACAGAGAGATGGGCACAAGCAGGGGGCATACAGAGGAACCTATGCCTACCATCCCTTACCCAGAAGCAGGCCAGGGCCTCACAACTTACTACAAGGATGCTTACTTTTCCATAGCAGGTTATGCTGTTTCCATTTGTTCACAGTTACTTTAAGACAGTGGTGTGGGTTTTTTTTGTTTGTTTGTTTGTCTTTAAAAGTACTACAGAAGGAAGAGAGAAAGGCAAATCACAGCCCACAAATAAGCTGTCCTGACTCCCTCCAGATGGTTCATTTTCCCTACCCCGTTCTATGATCTGCAAACCCTGATAAGGCTTCTGTAATCTTGTACCATCGTAAAGTATTTCTTCTTGAAGTGCTTTAAAGATCCCCACTGCTTACAGAAAACATTCCAAACTCAGACCACATTCAAAGTGCCAAAACTTTTGGGTGTAACAGATTTTTTTTTTTCCACACTAAGGCTGCTGGATCAGAGATAATCAAAATCTGATATACTGTACGTGACAAGTAACAAATGCAGGAAATGGGTACAGTGAAGGGCCACATTGAAGGGAGAAGTCAGAGGAATATAGGCCTGTTAATTCAATCTCAAACAGCTTGAAAGAGGGTTAATAATAAATGTGTGAATTGTAAAAAGAAAATCGGCAAACGAAGGTTCTTTCTATTTTAATCATGCCAGAATTGGATCAGTCCCGAGACCTCAGCTTTTGACAATTAGGGTACATCCCTGTGGTAATGACTCAGATATGATTCATAAAACTGCAGAAAATGAAGAAGTGCTGGGATGTACATGGCTCAAAAGCTCTCTGTAGAACCACAGAAAGAATTTAAATGAAGTTCAGTAAGTAAGCAACACTTTCTTTAAGGAAAAGTATTAATGTGTAACAAAACTAGTGGAATTGTGAATATATAAAGACTGGCTTCAATTTTTGAAGGTCTCTTACCAGACGTTAAGAAGAACAGTTGATGCAGTTACTGAAATGTTGAAGTATTTGTTTAAACTGACATATGTCACTTGGCTATAACAGCCAAGCTTTCCAATTATAATTTTGCAACATTTCATGAAAAGTCATATTTTAAATAGTAAATGTTTGCATTAAAAATCAGAAATGTCAAAGGAAGAAAAAGGCAACACAAAAACATTTATCGATGATACATGTGAATACTCTTACAGTAATCTTTAAGTACAAGCGAATCCCCCTCAGCTTTCCCCGGCAGCAGCTGAAATCTCTGCTGGATCACAAAACAGAACTGAGTCGTGACAGCCATCCTCAAGCTCCTGTAAGCTAAAAATTGTCTTCCCTCAACCCAGAAAAATAATCGTTATTTTCTGTGATATCACTGAAGACAAAAAGTGGCCTACCTAGTAAAATACCGTATTGACCTAATTTATCAACCTCCTATTTTAATCAGTGGAATACTTTAAAGTTATATATTCAAAGACATCTATAATTATGCAAGAATAAGGGACACCAAGGACAGATTAAAAACTAGCCTAGGCCAGGTGTGGTGGCTCACACATATAATCCCAGCACTTTGGGTGGCCAAGGTGGGCAGATCCCCTGAGGTCTGGAGTTTGAGACCAGCCTGGCCAACATGGTAAAACCTCATCTCTACCAAAAATACAAAGTAGCCAGGCATGGTGGCATGCACCTATAATCCCAGCTACTCGGGAAGCTGAAGCACAAGAATCACTTGAACCCGGGAATTGGTGGCTGCAGTGAGCTGAGAGTGCACCAATGCACTCCAGCCTGGGTGACAGAGCAAGACTCTGTCTCAAAAAAAAAAAAAAAAAAAAGCTAGCCTAAACAGAATAAATCAACCAGTACCTTGCTAAATAAAATAAGGTCAATCCAAAGTTGGCAGCTTTCCAGAAAAGCATGAGGAAACTTTTTGGTTTCTATGATAGCAGATAACAAATTATTTATGTTTCATATAAATATCTTTGTTTAAAAAATACTCTTTTTCTTAAAAACCACATTAATTGCCAGATTGAAATAAAATAATTGCTTAACAAATACAGTTGTTAAATGAATTAATGGTTTCAATACTAAAATGTGAAATCTCATCAACAGGTTTTGTCACATTCCCCAAAACACTGAAAATCATCTACAATTAAAATTATCTGTGCATTTCTTTTGCATAGTAAGAACTTTATTTTGTTAGTATTTTATTTAGCATAATATCTTCCCAAAAAGGGAAGTCACTTGATCTACAAATGAAGAGGAGAAGTCATGTTGAGCAAGAGACATCTGTAACAGGCAAACTGTGGCTCTGTGACTCTCGGGCTTGGATCCTATAGTCAGTGGTATGCAAATCAAACACTCACAAATAATACTGATACTCTCCTTTACGATCTTCCTCATCTAAAGTATACCATATCATATTTTGTAACAAAAAATTATTTTTTAGACAAAGAATGAAAATGTTCCTTAGGTCTAAAGCAAGCACAAATATTTATGGTATAGAACCAAGGAAAACTGGCTATGATTCATGAATATTAATTATTTTAAATAAACACAGCTAATGGATTATGGTAGAATAATAATAAAGAACAAGGTTAATATGAAGATGTATCAGATTTTTTGTCACAGTGGAAGGTTGGTAACTTTGAATCAATTACTGTAAAAAGTAGAAATTCAATAGGCTCAGAAATGTTTATTATTAGCAGGGTTCTTTAAAATGCTACATCATCTTTGAATTATATTCCAAACACACTGTAATTCCATTCACCCTTCTGAAACAAGGGATTTTTTTTTTTTTGTCAAAAATTCTATTTTAAACTTCTGATTCCTTTTACAAAGTTAAAACAGGCACCCCACTACCTGTTAAACATGTATATTGGAAAAGACTATGATCACAACATACAATTTTAGATTTTAAAAAGACTACAAAGAGATGAAAAAGACAACCTCCAATTCTAGAGAACTGAATGTCACACAATGAAACATTCTGAGGAGACAGCAAGCACTTAAAGCCAGGAGTCCAAAAAGACAATAAAGAAAATGGAATTTAAAAAAATATAGAGTCACGTCAGAGTTAATAAGAAGACACATATTGAGAGTAAATGAGTTAACAGTAACTAACACAATGAAATCATATACAATAAGGTACTTCAATATTTGAATGCTTTTGGAAAATATTTAAAACAGAACTCAAAACCTTCACTGCTAAGTGAAACAAATATGCCATGGAAGAAATAGTATAACCTCAGGCAGCTGTCATAATCAAAGCAATGAGCTCTGTCTTTGCTGTTCTCAGGCTGCTTAAGTCTCCCTCAGTCACAATGCAGTTCTAGCTGGGTAAGCCTAGACTAGGGGGAGTCTGGCACCTGTGTCCCAGAGAATCAGTCTGACCCCAGGATGGCCCTATGCCACCACAAGTCTTAAGAATACCAGATGGATGGCTCAGCTGTTTTGAAGACTTCACAATAGGGTTTAGCTCTGTGGTCCTGAAGCCTATCAGGTATCTAAGTAGATGTGAAAATCTTTAGGGAGGGGAAAACGATGTGACTTGGAGCCCTGGAATCTTGGCTGCAAGCATATCATCGGTGGGGAATGAAGGTGCGAATTCTAAAGAAAGAATAAGCACAGAAAAAGGAATAATACAGACAGCTCAAAGGAAGAAGAGAGGTAAGCAGGCTAACAGGATGACATACTGGCCCCAAATACCAGTCATTCACCTGAGAAACAAGGATGGTGATAATTTACTTGAAATATGTGCGGTGATTATAGCGAAATGTGTATTATGAATCCATTCGGTCTTTTTCTTAGTCTTTTCCACGAAAGAAATTAAAACTATGCTCTATATCCACTAGTTAAAATTTATTTTGATAAATCTAGAGGTTCAAATTTAAGTCATGGATGAAGAATAAAACTCCACTTCATGCTCTAATTTCTTTTTAAATACCTCATAGAGAACTTAGGACAAATACTTATTATGAAAATACAGTAGCATGAGCGAGATGAAAAAACTCCAGCACACAGACTGAGAATGCTTTGTTCATCCCCTTCTTCCATGATGAGTCTTCAGTCAGGTCCAGCCCACCTGACTTTCCAGTTGGCATTATTATTTTCCTTCACGTGACAATGTCTTTTTACAAAATGACCAGAATACCTCTCCTTATTTTTAGTTAAGTCCAACTTCTTCATTTTCAGCCTTTTTTTTACTATGACATAAAAACAATACTGACAACAAAATCTAGCCAAAACTTTCATCAAAATTACCTTGAAAACACAAACTGGACTCCCTTGTCTCAGTTTTCCATGTGACTGGCCCTTAATCACTATGGAAGTAGCATCAAGCCAGACCAGCCATGGTTAAAAGAATGTTGAGACAGCTGAATATGACCCACAGTCTCAATAGGACAATTTTCCTAATGTTTTTTATAGGAGAGAGAAAGAATTGGCTGTAAAGGTTAGTCACACTTACAAGTCCACTTATGGCTACAATCCAGATGTAGGAACCAGAGGTGAAAAGCTATAAAAGGAAAAAAAAAAAGGCAATTGAAAATAAAATTCCACTGCCAGACACAGCACACTTATTTTTATATAACTATAGTTATGACCATTTATATAAAGTATTAATTATATATGCCATAATACAGATAAGCAAATGGAAAATTATTATCAATTCTGTTACTTAAAAAAATTATATATTAATTTTTTTTTAATTCAGACCTCAGACTTTTTATAGCCTAACACAAGTTGAACCTAGCCCATATCCACACAAAGAAAAGTAAGTGAAACTAAAGTGTGATGTTATTTACAAACTTTAATTGACTTAAGGTAAAATACTACATGTAAAGAAATTATCAGAATTAACAACATACAAAACAGGTAATCACTATCCCATACTTGGCAATGACGTGATATTTATGTAAGTAACTTTCTCATTTTGATTTCTTAAATTGTTACCCTAAATTTAGATGCGAAGAACCCTGCCAGCCTCCTTAGCCTACCATGTCCAATGGTAACTTTCTCAAGTGTTGATATTCTCATTCTAGCTCACCCAAGGAAGAGCAAACTAAGTAACATAACAAAGTTAATTAATGGCAAAAGTAATTAGACTTAGACTTCATGAAATCTTTCCTTTTGTTTTCCAAATCGCTTATACCTTAGAGTTGTGCTTGGGGTTAAGAAACAATCATTATAATGCCTCTGAAAGTGTTCCTGTAACAAATAAATGATGTGTGGGTTATTGTTGGTTAACGTTTAGAATTTTAGATTGGGGGTTTACTGCTTATTGTAGAGTAAAAGGCAGGACACTCAGGCAGGACAGCCCAAGCTCACCACTGACATTGTGCTAGATGAAAACCTCAAAGTTCTGCACACTTACCAAGGACAAACAGAAAGAAGGACAGACACAAAAGGTAAGAGTTGACACAGTAGATTAAAAAGAGGCTGGCAAGCTTTGCTCTAGTGACAGGCTTACTTAGAAACGAGTCCCGGCTGTAACTCTCAATCTGATCCTTTGATCTAGCACAGATACTTGTTCAGTGCAAATGACTCTGATACTGAGAAGGATGAGAACCATATAGACAAATATTTTGCTGTAGTTTTCTTCTAAAAATAGAAGAAACAACAGACTAGCTAACACTTTCTGTGTGTCAGGCATCTCAAGGCACTTCAGTAAAACCAAGTGATTAAACAATTTGCTACAGGCTGCAGGTGGTAGGCTGGAGTATATCCAAGAGGACTGGCTCCACAGCCGTGCTCTCCACTCTTCCATGTCTCATATGCAAGTAAAAAGAGCATATCATTTGTCAGTAAAAAAATAATTTCCTCTGATCTCTAAAGTCTTCATTGCTTATGTGGTCCCCAGTATGTCTGCCTACCTCTTGACAGTGTCTGTGTGTTTTCTCACGGCTGGGCTCCTTGAGGACAGGGGCTACGCTACATCTCACCCAGTGGGTGACACTGATTTAAGTATTGGACAGCTTGAGAGCCCATAACATCATAGCCCATTGCACAGCACATGATGTTATGGGCTCTCAAGGCACTAGATACTTAAATGAGCCTTAACAAAAGTTTAGGCTCTTCCAATTACGATTCAAGTCTTCATTCATTCATTTATTCAACAATGTCCTTGGTTGTAGTGGGGAGAGAAAAAGGCACAGAAACACATGTAAAGGCTTGGAGGGGAGGGACATAGGCAGAGAACAGACACTTTAGCAATAAGGAGTTCAGTCACACTCCTTCAAGGTGGGCACAGGTGGGAGTTGATACCAGACAGGCAAGAAGAACCCTGAATGCCATTCATGCTAAGGACCTAGATATTACCAAGGAGCCAATGAGGCATCTTCACCTCTACTTTCTGATCTCAACTTCTCCTTCACAAAGTTACTGGAAATAATACAAAAACATTGGACATTTATATTATTTGGAAAAACTATCCATGGTAGCTGCATCTACCTTTCTGCTTTTGGCAAGGCTAAGGGGGATCCCTCATGGTGAGCTGTGTAACACTGTGGAAACTGCATTAGAGATTAGGTTGGTGAAAAAGTAATTGCAATTTTTGCCTTACTTTAGTGGCAAAAACTGCAATTACTTTTGCATTGACCTACTACAATGGCCCTGTAACAAAGGCCATGCTGTGCCTCTTCATCCAACTAGGATCCCCTTTCCCTAAGAGATTAAACACACTACTTATTTTGCTTTATGCCAAACAAAACAAAACAAGAAATACATTTAAAATCTCAAAAAATATATGGTGGTAGTATAGAGACATAAATTGTTAATTAATAATAGTAACCAATTGACTCAGGCCTTATTATCTGTTCAGATTACACTAAACACACTACCTTGAAATACCTCTATAAGGTAGATATTATCATCCCCACTTGATAGATGGGGAAATGCGGGTTCAGGAAAGGTAAGTGACAAAACAAATCATTACCAGACCAAGTCATATAAACCGAAGTCCACTTGGCTCCAAAAACTTTCCACAATGTCACACTGAATTACTACTCCACAATTAATAAAACAGCATTTTCACTCTCAAAGATTCAACATAGCTTTAGACTTGGAAGAACTATACAGCCAATGTGCGGCTCAGGGCAGTCCCATGACTTTACCCAAGTCTCATGGCTGGCGAGAGCCATGCTAGGACTAGAACTTGGGTCTCCTGAGTGAGGTCCACATGGCCTCTGTTTTAACAGCTTTAAAAATATTAAATCTGCTATAGCAAATCCTATTTATAAGAATCAACTGCAGAAATGGGCTATTTGGTTACACGGGTATCAGGTAGGATAAGCGGGTGTGGAACGGTACAGGGGTTGAGAGACAGAGAATAAACAGATTTCATGAGAAACGGTTGTAAAAGTGGTAAGAAAACACCTGCCCCAGATGAGCCATTGATAACACATGACAGCAGACTGGAGAAGTGAGAGGAAATGCTAAAGGTTAAAAGGGGAGGGAGGAGGGCATTCTGAAGTGACACTAGTATCCGGTTAGATGTGCGTGGGATAAGGAATGTTATGAGTATTAATCAGTGGATCAAAAGGCCAAGAGACACACGGTGACACAGGAAGCTGTAGAATAAAACTACATCAAAAGCCATGAGAGTAAAAGAAAAGTGACAAGTAGTACGATAGAAAACTGAAAAATCATTCTCCTACCACAGGCCTGGAGCCCAGTAGGGAGCAATCAACATTTGTTGGATTGGCAAAGATAAGCTTTTCAAATTTAAGCTAGACAATAGTACTCTAATGGTCTCAACAGCAAACCACGTAGCAAATGGTGACACTACCATCAGGGCTACACAAACACGGACATAATGAAGCTGATAATGCTTCTTGAAAACTCCAAAGCTTGGGTTGGTAGAGCACACTGGGTTTCTTTATTTGCGACACCATATTCAATAAATTAATTTTGATACTGATTTTCTACTTTCTACTGTTTTAGTTGTTCTCACTTGTTTCCACTTCATACTATGATTGTTAAAAAGTATTCACATGCAATTGTACAATGAAATGAAAGTATTTTCCACAGATACAAATTTTGGTGAAAGCTCTTATCAGATTTCTAAAGGCTATGAAAGTATTCTAGTACCTTCTATACCTCGATGTTCTTGTTCTGTAACACTTCCTTTAAACATTTGATATAGATCACGAAGCCAAGATTATGGGGGAAGAAAAACCACTGTTTTCCAGGAGAACAAATGAGAAAAAGACCAAAAAAAACCCCCAGATCTGGTTAAAGTGAAGTGAACATAAAAACGCATACTGTACCTGTAGTCCCAATATATAAATCAACGTCTTGTTCGTGATGGACAAGGGGCCCAGAATCTGTGCCACTTGGACTCTTGGTATGGAGCAGTAAAACGGTACAAACAGAGCAAACACAGGTGCCAGGCTATGCAAACAAATAAAAAAAAAAAAACACTATAATAGTGAATTTTAAACACCAATGGCAGATGTATTTTTGATATAACACTGCTTAAAATTTTATTTCAGTCTGAAAGCATGGTCTTAAGATATACAAATTGATTTTCAAATATGCATCATGTCCAAAATAATCTGTACTTAAAGAACACTTTATGAAAACTCTAATCATTCTATCCTTATTGACCCTCCCAAAACCACTGCAAAGAAGTGGTTCAGCACCTACTAATTAATTGTAAGAAAAGTGGAGGCTATGTTTTCTTCCTAGGTATGACTAAAATCAAATGAGAGAAACGAGACAAACCAAAAGCAGCAAACATTAGAATTCTTCACAGTCAAATCCAAAAGTCCCCCTCTCAGGCCCTGTCCAGTGATCTGTTGCCATGGCACTGGCAGGGTTCACCTCTGGCCCTCCTTTCCTCACATTCCTTCCTCCCTCCCCTTGTCTGAAACCCTGTTTCTCAGTCATTGTCCAATGATTTCTTACACGACTGGCTTCTCCACGGTTCCATTATAGCCTTTTCTTCTTGTTCTGTCATCTCCTCATACAATTTCAATCCTTTCTATGGCTTGGGCTAAGAATATGAAGTGAGACCTAAAACTGCCTGTCCACCCCTCATCCTGGTTCTGAACATCAATTTGACATTTTCACCCTGACATATTCAAAAGTCTAGGTGTCTTTTTACTTACAGTCTTGCTTCTCTCTAATCCATCTCTTACCATTGCATTTCTCTTCCTAAAACACAACTCTGATCACATCACTCCCTTGCTTAAAAACCCTTCCTTCCATGGGCTCCAGTATCCAAAGATAAAATGCTTCATAAGGATGAGATAGCAAAGCTCCCCAGTTCACTCCTATCACTGCAGATTGCCATCACTGTCCTCCTCTCTGCCTCCCTCATCTGGCCCATCACACACAAGGCCCTCACACATGCACACAGCTGCTCTCTGACATGCTGGCTGCTTAGACCCTCCACTGACATAGGTTCTGCTTTCCACTTTCCTGCTTAGGAAATTCAGCTTGTTCAACACCACTCAGCTCTTCCCATAAGACTTCTCTGACTCTTCCTGCTAGCTGGTGGCTCTCCTTATGGCCCCCAATCTGTCAGTTTCACCATTTCAATGAATCAGTGAATCAAATGCATGCTGATGATGTCAAGGTAGAATGCCCAGCCCAGGAGCTACAACTACATCCAAGAGAAAGAAGCAGTCCCTGACCTCAAGGAACTCATTACAGGACTGAAATCTTACATCCTACAAGTGCTGGGCAGGTAATATGAATGAGTAGAGTGCTTTGGGCACATACTTGCACTCATTTTTCATTAAACACTTGGCTTAATTACTTGGTCTATGTTTTATTTTCCCAGTTTTGGGGAAATGGCACCAGAAAAAAAGAATTATTTCATTATCACAAGAAAAATGCAAAAAATATGTTTCACTTCTACAAAGAACTGTCCTCAGTGCCATTTTTGTGGAAACATAGGAAGGACCCTCCTGGCCTCTTGTGCAATTTCTCATCCTTGACAGAAACTATCTTATTTTTTAAAATGCACTGTCTTCTCAATTCTACTATTAAAAACAAAACAAAACCAAAATATAGCATACACAAAACAAACGTGATAAATGGCAGCCCCATCAACAGCTATCAACCCAAAAGCAGCAAATGCTAGAACTGGGAAAACTCCAGCCAGTAAGGCCTAAGTGCAGGTACTGTGTCAGGACTGGGGACAAAGAGATGCCAGATACACCTGGCTGGCTGTCCAGTGAGAAGGATGGCAGGGGCTGGGTAGCAGAAGGAGGTGGATGGCACAGTGGGCTCCTACCCCCACTTGCCCAGCCTAGAATTCCTTGAGTATCAGGCCTTCCTCCCAGGCTGAGCACCTCAGTGTAGGGAAGAAGAGGCAGTCCTGGTTCTCCTAGCAACTGGCACCGTGCTTGGCACAGTTCAGGAGCTCACTACATTTTGGGGCAACAAAATAATCCTTAGTCTAGAACAACTGTATGACTCACATTTGAATTAACAATATAGCATTCTCAAAAACCTCCCATTAGATCATTAATTCTGAGAGAAAGCATCATATTTTATCTAGTTTTGCCTAATAGGCATTCTTATACATGATCCATATTCAATATTGATTGGATTTTTTAAAATTAATAAAGCAATTTTTAAACACTATACAAAAGAATTGCTTTTATCCAATTCTAAAACCAAACACAATTGATTAAAATAGCTGGGCCTTCCTTTCATGGAAAAGTATGAGTTAGTCGCTCCTGGGCATAAATCCTCCAACACCTCCCCACCTATAGTCATAACAAAGAAGTCCTAGGCCCTGTGTCTCATCCCCATCCTGATCCTGTGCTCCGCAAGACAGGACCTTCTCAGAGAAGCCCTCCCTGACTGCCCAATTTAACCTGTACCTCCCGCCCTCACAGCCTTCCCCCTGCATTCTCTACTGTCTTCCTGACTCTTCCCCCACAGCACTTACAACCTTCTCAGCACTGCCTGACTTGTCTATTTCCTATCTCAAAAACAGAATGGAAGCTTCACACAGACAGGGATTTTGGTCTGTTTTGTTTGCTGTTTTATCCCCACTGTCTAGAATTGTGCCTGGCATAAAGTAGGTTTCAATAAGTATTTGCAGAAGAAATGAATTTTGCTTTAAAACAGCAAAACCATACAGCAGAACTTAACTCGCTTTTTGTTTTAAAACGTCCCCTTCCTTTTTATCATTTTTAATGGGATTAAAACATATGGTTTCATATGCAGCTCAAAATATGGCCTGCTGGTCTCCTGGTGATTATAAAACCCTATTTGGGTAGTCAACTGCACTGAAGGTCTCTTACCACAGAACAAACCCTTTGAGGTGCTTAATTCACAGAAGTTCTTCTGTTTACATTTAGTAATCAAGTGCAAATAGTGATGTTACAACTAAAAAACCTAAAGCAGAGTTCTTGTTTGAGGTTACATTTCAACGTAAACTAAAAAAACACTGGCAGAAATTTTAATGACCACAGTTTATATTTCACATACCAATAGACATTTAAAAATTCCTTAAAAATTATTAATCGCTATATATTCTTAAATGATGACTAAATACTAGGCCACATTTACACATTTCAGACCAAAATTATATGGGCTGTTCTGGAGAAATTTTCCATTGCTATTTCCATACACACAGACTTTACAAAATACCATAATGTTATTAGTCACTGACCAGTCTTTTTCTTTTCCTTATTTTATGAAAACTTCTGTTCTCTATACATTTTCATACTGTGAAGAGCTACCTTCTGGAAGCCCTTTCTGACTTAAGCAGATGAGGCTGGTAGTACAGAAAAAAGAAAGCAAGTTAAAAAAAGAAAGCAAATTATAAACATTTCAGCCATCCTTTCTTTTTTTCTGTTTTTTTTTTTTTTTTTAGACAGGGTTATCTGTCTGTCACCCAGGCTGGAGTAGAGTGAAGTGGTGTAATCATGGCTCACTGCGGCCTCAAATTCCTAGGCTCAAGCAATCTTCCCACCTCAGCCTCTAGAGTAAACTGGCATTACAGGTGTGTACCACCATACCTGGCTACTTTTTAAACTTTTTTTTAGAGACAGGGTCTCACTGTGTTGCCCACACTGGTCTCAGACTCCTGGCATCAGCCAATCCTCCTGCCTCAGGTTCCTGAGTTCCTGGGATTACAGGTATGAGCCATTGCTCATTGATCCTTTGATATCACTAATATTTACTAAGCATCTACTGCTATATATTCATGATTGCACTCAATAGAAAAAATAAAATAACAAAGACATCTTGTTCAGGTCGCAAATGTCCACTTCACTTCTTCTATAGAAAAGGTCGCTTGACATGGTGGCTCACACCTGTAATCCTAGCAACTTTGGGAAGCCAAGGCAGGCAGATGGCTTGAGCTCAGGGGTTCAAGACCAGCCTAGGCAACATAATGAAACCTTTTTTCCACAAAAGTACAAAAATTAGGTGGGCATGGTGGTGTGTGCCTATAGTCCCAGCTACTCAGGAGGCTGAGGTGGGAGGATCACTTAAGCCCAGGAGGCTGCAGTGAGCCAAGATCGTGCCATTGCACTCTCGCCTGGGCAACAGAGTGAGGCCCCTGTCTCAAACAAAAAACAAACAACAATAACAACAAAAAAACGTTCCTCCGTACTCTCAGGACTTTTAAAGGTTAGAAGAACCTAATGACATATGTAGGAGGTGAAAGCTACTTGACTATTTTTACAGAAACCTGAAGCAGAAAGGTCTCTGAGGTCACAGAGCTACAAATTCCTACCAAATGATTCAATTCTGTCTACATAATCCCTCAAAACCATCATCAAGTTTACACAAACATCTAAATAAGAAACAGCATACTCCATTTTTAAAAATAATCCCAACTTTTAGGAATGACTCTCATTTAGTTTTGATCTGAAAACTATCTCCAGTAACTTCTTATTGGCCCTCCTGCTCATCTCTGGAGTTAGGAAGACTGACATAAGCAATTTAAACACTTTTCTATGAGAGTTTACATACACATGAGGATAATGACCCTATGACTGCAAAGCCTACACATCTCCAGCTAATTTAATCAGTTCTCCTAAAAGCTGCTATCCAGGCTCCCCACTGCCACAGGTGCAATCTACCTCATCTATGCCTTTTGTGAAATGCAGCACCCAGAACTGGCTGGGAATGGCCAGATCAGTCCCGGCTAAATGTAAACATCACCTCTCCTGATCTGAGCACTACATATTTGGTAATTTAGCCTACAAATAAACTGCATTTTGACAGACACGTTATGCTGTTTAAACTGAGTCAACTAAAACTACAGGGTGGAAGGCATCCTTTCATCCTGCGCTGAAGAGGCTGGATTTTATCTATAATGGGCCTCCCTTCAACTGTTTCTATTATTCATATGCTCACACAGTCACTGACTCGGGCAGCCTCTCGACTGAAAATGGCGACTAATCCTCTCCACTCCA